CCACACCAAGTTCTCCTGCAAGTTCACGGCAGACACACTGCAAAACTGCTCAGGCCTGACGGACCCCAACTTCGGCTTCGCGGAAGGAAAGCCGTGCTTTATCATTAAGATGAACAGGGTGAGTGCGGAGGAGCTGCAGACCCCTGACCCAGCCATGGCCTGGAGGGGCCAGGGTGCCTGGTCCTCACGTGACCCCCATGCATCCCAGTGCAGGGGTCCAGGCTGGCAGGGCTGGGACACGCACTGCAGCCCCCTCCTACCCTGCACCTTTGCTCAGCATGCACCTGTCATGTTGGCTCAGGAGCTGACCTTTCCCCAAATACAACCTGAGCACAGCGCAGACATGGCCCTGACTTCATGCTCTGCGGCACCTGCACACTGAGCAGCAGAGTCCGAGCTGCTCAGGGCGGCCACGTGCACACAAAAGCTTGACAGCAGCCAGGCTGTGTCAGGTACCACAAGGACAGCTGGGAACCATCCCTAGCAAAGGTTCTCACTCGGGGTCAGGGACCCTCTGCCGGGCACGAGGGAGACTGAACAGGCCAGGGCAAGGAAACCACAGGAGGGTATGGTCCATCCAGCCTTGGGGTGCAGGGCAGGGGGACATCCCACTGGAGGCCAAGGAGGGCAAGACGGCTGGGGGAATCTCTGCTCCATATCGGCCAACAGGCATGCAGTTCTAAGAAGCTTCCTTCCCGAGAGTCCTAGGAAAGCCACGCATCTGTGAACGGCACACACTCCTGGGTCCCCGCTGGGTCTTGACGCTGCCTGGCGGGGGAAGCTGTGCACACCAGGGCAGGTGTGTGGGGAGGGCGCCAGGCACAAGCAGGCACACACCAGGGCCAGGACCCAGGAGGCCAAGAGAACATGACATGGGAGCAGCGAGGTGGGCACCTCAGGGCACCAATTTCAGGGCACTGCGGAGCACCAGAGAGGGGTGGCCACGGCTCGGACCCTCCCGTCCAGCCCTGCCACGTGCCGGCAGCCAAGACCATGTGGGGCAGGGCTCTGGCTCTGAAGGAGGTGCCAGCAGGAGCCCCAGCTTGAACGGGCCGCTCACGCACACAGCCGGGGGGAGAGCTACCAGGACGCCCTTTCCTTCCAGATCGTGAACTTCCTCCCCAGCAACAGCACGGCGCCCAGAGTGGACTGCGCCTTCCTGGTGAGTGCACGGCCACACCACAGCCGCTTTCCCCTAAGTTCCCCTCACAGCCACACGAACCATCCCTTAGAGCAGCTTTACTGCAGGGAACAAAAACCTAGGAAGGAAAACTGTATCTTTTCACTGTTTTGCTTCAAGGAGCATCTGGGACAGTGTAACACTAACACCCTCACAGGTATTTGGTGGCAATTTGGAAAAACCTGCTAAGAGCTGGCATTAATTTCTCAAAACCAGTTTTAAATCACAACACCAAAAAATCAAATGTGTCTTCATGGACTATTTTGTAACGCTTGTTTTCCGGACCGAAGGCTCCCTGCTGTTAGTGGCAGCACCCCACCCCCCAGAGCCGCCTCGCTGTGGGTGAGGCTCTGCCTCGGTCTGTGTCCTTCTGCAGTCACTCGACCACACGTAGGGACTGACTTGAGCTCTTAACAGACACAAAGTGCCCTCCATCTGTGCTTGGGCAAGCTCTAGCTATCCGCCAGGCAATCCGGGCAATCTGCACACACGCAGACACAGGCAGACACGCCCAGATACACGCACGCGCTCCCGGACCCTGCCCCACTCAGGCCGTGGTCTCTCCGCTCGCCCCCAGGACCAGCACAAGAATGCCCGGCCCCTGCAGGCGGAGTACTACCCGCCCAACGGCACCTTCAGCCTCCACTACTTCCCCTACTACGGGAAGAAAGCGCAGGTAGGTTTGCTTCTTGTTCCCCAGACAACAGCTGCAGAATCGTCTCAGATTTAGCAATGACTAGCAAAAGGATTTCAATCAGTTAAGGATTTGAACTGATTTTAATCAGTTACACAAATGAAACAAAGGTGACTGCAGCCCTCTGGGTGTTTCTCGAAAACACCAGCTCCCCGGCAAAACACAAATACCAAACCTAATGCTTTCACTTTCCCAGAGTTTCCCAAATCCCTTTAGACAACCATATACCCATTTTCATCAAATATAATTTGAACCCGAATTTGTCCCTGGTGCTATCTCCCTACCCCAGACTGGCTCTCCTCGTCCCTAACGGAGAGAGTGAGTGCCCACATGACGGCTGTGGGTGGACTGGGCAGGCGGGCCGTCTCTGTGCCGGCCGACTGGTCCCGGCCACACAGTCTCTGATGCTCTCTTCCCCCGTCTTCCCACACGTGCCCCAGCCCCACTACAGCAACCCTCTGGTCGCCGCGAAGCTTCTCAATGTCCCCAAAAACACAGAAGTTCTCATCGTGTGCAAGATCCTGGCAGACCACGTGACGTTTGACAACCCCCACGACCCCTTCGAAGGGAAAGTGGAGTTCAAGCTCAACATTCAGCAGTAGACGGGGGGGCGGGGGGGAGGACCTGCCCTGTTGGCCCCACCAACTACAGACCCAGCTGCCACTGCTCCCCACCAGACCTCCAACACTCTGCGGCCCAGGAACAGCAGGCAGGAACCTGTGCCCCCAGAGCTTAGTGTAGAGTCAGCGGCCTCTCATTAAATCCTTTCTGCTCTTCGACCCCGAATCTGTAGCTATGATAACAACAGTGGGCCGTGATAACCCCAAGGCAGCAGCAACCCAACTAACAAGACCCTAAAGATCATTCCAGGCCGACTTCACGTTCCTCACTATACCTTCATTTTTCTAACATCGATGAACTCCCGGTAGCCGCGTCAACATGAAGACTGCTCACGCTCTAAGAGAACACGGCCTTACGAGAACGGGCATTCTGACGGTTTGCTCTTAAAGAACGGAATTCCTGAACTGTAAAAATAAAACATTAAAGTCATTCTTATTCTATGTGAAACAATCATGTCTTTTCTGATAAGAGGAAAATGTAACAACAAAATCACTTTTTCTTTAAAAATTTTCTTAAAGTTTCACACCCCTGTTAGGGAAATTCAGACGAGGCTGGAGGGGGGCCGCACCCGAGAACTCACGCAGCTGCAAGAGGTGAGCGGGTGAGGCGTGAGGGCGTCACGCGTGGGGTGGGGTCCAAGCCCCAGAGGAAGCCACAGACCCGAGCCCACCCTCCAACACCCAGGGACGGACGGGCGGATCACTCCAGTCCCTGTACAAAATACCGGAACGAGAGCATTCTGATCAAACAAACCTGCTCTCCCGGAGTGCCCCCTCCAGCCCAGCCACCGTGCGACCTGGTGACCTAATCCCACACAAGCACCAGTGCAATGTTGCCGCCCACAGAGTGACACAGCCCCACGCAGCTAGGGTGGGAGACCTCAGACCCCCGAGGACAGGCAGAGTCACGCCCCCAGGAGCCGGCTGCCCGCCCGTGTCACTTCAACAGGTCCTGCAGGGAGGCCGCCTCAGGCCTGTGGGCACACAGCGGCCAATGAGCAGCAGAACTCGCTGGCCGCAGTCACCTGCCCCCCGCCCTCCAGCTCCTGCTGCCCTCAGGACCATGAGTCACAAGTGGCAAGAAAGGACCAGCTGTCACTTCACGGCACCACGGACGCCCCTCTAAGGCCTACTATCTCCCATGTTCGTACGACACTGTGCTGTCCTTTCTTACCTTACAACCTTACTCCTGAAAGCCAAACCCCTGGAATCAGTCTCAACCCCAAGGGGCCGCCGTCCGCAGGGCGGGCAAGGGAGGGCAGGAGCACTTCGGCGTGTCCACCGGGCCCCCCTCTGGCCTGGCAACCACCCCTCGCTCAGCAAGAAGCAAGACTGACACAGAAGATAAAGTAACTTGTGGACAAGAATCCTGAATTAGAGGAACACAGAGCTTGTTTAAAATGCCCATGCGCGTTTTATTAATAAAAACTAACAGTGCCAAGTTAAACAAGTCAAACAATTAAAGTCTCTTTATATTCCATAAAATATTACAGAAAAGTTTATTTGTGTTTCAATAAAAAGACTATTGTTTAGAACAGGCAGCTGACAGCAACTGTGCGGTTAATGGTTCTTTGTGAATAAATTTTAAAAGGGACTACTGCCTGTCCTGAAATTCCTTTTTCTTTTTATAAAAAAAGAACTATTAAAAATGATTGACAAATTCTGAGTTAAAAAACTGTTAGAACATTCTCTCTATTTAATGTCAACTTCATCATAGATTACAGGAAGATGCTCACGAAACAAAGACGATGTTTGTTTCCGTTCGTGTCCTCAGATGACAGACGTGTGGGCCTGTAAACACGGACACGAGAGTCCACGCCCGCCTGTGAGAATCAGGCGGACCTCCACGAGCACGTGCGCCCGAGCCTTCCACCGCTCTCACAGCTGCACCGGCACGGCAGGCAATTTGACCAAACAAAACAAAACAAAGAACTTCGCAATTTGCTGCAACATAGAGAAAAAAGAAGTATAAACTCGATGGAATCACACAGTCAATATAATTTAAGGGAAAATAAAGTCATGATATAGTTAATGGCGCTGGACGCTGAAGAGCAGAGCCCGCCGCTCGCCGGGCCGCGGACGCCCCGAAGTGCGACGGCATCGGGAGGGAGCCGCTCACCCCCAGCGGCTGCACCTCTCCCGACACGCGGCAGACACGCGGCGCACGGGCGCACGGCCACGCAACCCAGCGTGGCGCTCGGGCGACGGGGACAGAGCGCCCCTGCTCCGGCGCACTCAGCAAGGAGGGAGCAAAGTGAACTCTGAACGAGAAACAGACGTGAAAACAAAATGCCAGACAGTGAGGAAAGGCCCTGTGTCGCCACTGACGTGGAAGCGCACTGCAGCTCACCCGAGACCCCGCGGAACACAGCCCTCGCCTGCCAGCCAGAGCCGCACACACACCCGGGCCACAGCTCACGGCCAGCGCCCGGGAAGGAGGCCGAAAGGAAACAGACGGCCACGGCGGAAGCAGTCTCTCCCGGCGCAGGCTGCGAGGGCGGGCCGCGGGCGGGCGTCAGTCCTCCTCCTCGTTCTCATTGAAGTCATCGTCATCCTCCTCGTCCTCCCCGACGTAGGACACAGGGGTCTCCACCCGCGAGCCGCTGTACTGGGACCCACTGGAGCTCGTGGCCAGCGTGCCGTCCGCACCATTGGTCAGGTCGCTGTGAGGACGAGGTGAGACGAGGCGGTCAGGCAGAGCACCAGTGACCCCAGCACCCCGCCTGAGCCCCACCTCCACGACACACAACAACTGAAACAAGGCAGCACCGGCAGCCGGGGTCACTGACTACGTCACACACAGAACCCCATGTGCTCAAGCTGGAAAACCACAGCTCTTCTTCCAGGCCTGGTACTTGTGGCGCCCTTGATCTCCAAGGCGGGGGGGGGGCAACAGGTTAGGAAAAGGGGTCCCAGGAAAGGACAGAGGACCCTCCAAAGCAAGGCTCCCCAGACAGCAGTGCATGGGAGGTGCCCAGCAAGGTGCGTGTGCATGTGTATGCACATGTTGTGTGTGGGTGTGCGCGTGCACCTGTGTGCACGTGCTGGGTCTGTGCGGGCACCTATGTGCACGTGCCATGTGTGTGGCTGTGCATGCGCATGCAGGTGTTGGGTGTGTGCGTGTGACTGATGCGTGATGCTGTGTCATGCATATGTCAACGACACCCAGGCCCCACCCTCAGCTCCTCTGGCCCCAGGGCAGAGCTCAGGAAACTGAGCTGAGACAGGTGAGCCTCACACAGCTGCTCTGCAACCTGAACTCCAGAATCAACTCCAAGGACCCCACAGCTGTCTACCGTCTCACGAAATGGCACTTGCTGAAAGGCTGTGGGGCTGGCAGAGTGGAGCCCAAGGGTGCAGGGGGGCGGAGCTGCAGGGCCGGGTGCTGTTGGGAAGCAGGCCGCTTGGCCCTACACTCTTGTCTTCAGACGGGTGTCTGGAACCCGTCTACGCTGCCACTGTGCCCCTGGGAGTCTCGACAGGGGATATCTAACCATCTCCGTCACGCCTGCAGGGGGCCTACTAGCATCTGAGCCCCAGGGTGCCGCTAAACAGCTCACAAAGCACGTGGCAGCGTGCACGAGTTATCTGGCCCCAAATGTCAACAGCGCCTCAGGCAAGGCCATGGCCTAGAACAGAGAGATTCTAAAAGCCAGGATCCTGAGGAAAAACTTCTAGGTTCAGCCACCTCCCAGCACCTGGCACAGTGGGTCAGACACCATCTTGGGGCACCGGCAGGTGACAGCCCATACCCACAAGATGCACACGTCCACCCCGACGTATAATCTGCTCAGATAGTTGTCATCAAAACTCACTGTGATTTTGTAGTATTTGAGCAACAAGAAAACGTATTCTAAGAAACATCAGATACTAAAGGGATACCAGTCTAGAATTTAAAGCTCAACAGAGACCCTCCAGATTCAAGCCAGACACTTACCACAAGCACACAGGGGTTCCCGGTGACGCCAGGAGAAGCCCCGCACCCAGCATCCTCTCTGCTACTCAACTGGAATGCCTCCAGCCGCCTGCCTCAACATGACAGGACACAAAAGGACAGAACCACCCAGGAGATTCTGCTGTTCTACACTCGAAAAAGAGGAGGTTTGGGGCGTGGGCTGACCGACGAGCATGGCTCTCATTGGGCAACGCAGCGGGGGGCCCCAAGTGTACGGCACCCACACCTACCACAGGCCAGAGCTAGGGCGCCAAGAAACGCTTTTCTTTACACACAACCATATGTGTGTTTTTTACTAGTATTTAGTAACATCATACGATAAAAACTATTAAATGTTAGGCTCTTTGACAAAGGAACTCCGCATCTGTGAAATCCAGCCCAGCAAGAAAGTCAGAAAGGGTAAAAAAAATTTAGCCATAAAGCTGCTTCAAATTGCATCTTTTCCTACAAGCGGGAACCACCTAACTGCCCAAGAAATTATTGTGCCTTCATAAAATAATGCCAGTTTCTACACTGGTTTTTCTTCTGAAATGGTAGTGAATTTACTTGCCTTGTTATAAACCTGATGTGAGTCTCCGGAACTTGAATCAATACCCAAATCCGGTCTCTTGGAATAACCAGTGCTCAGCATCCCACAGACTGACCTCCACACACACGCACAGCGGGAGGGTTACAGTTAAAAACTGGGCTGATCTCCATCCAAACCTGACCCGGGCCAGATACCCCACAAAGGACTTCAGTGACAACCCCGTGGCCAGTCCATCTCACAGTGCAGGCCAGGAGCCTCACCCGTGTCACAGAACCCTGGAGCGCAAGACAGCCACAGAGCACCGCATCACCCTTTTGCAGATCAATCCATTTTGTTGAATCTACAGACTGCTAATCTCTCATTTCAAGAAATTAAACATCTATTAATATTTAGGACTGATATAGGGTAACATGTATAACATAATATGACGTGAAAGTTAATAAAACCATTGTTCTGTCAATACTTAATACGGAAATTTTCTTACACTAATCTTTAAAAAACTAAAATAAATACCCAGGGACGATATAATTCTGCTTTGGGGGATAGCTAGGTCAAAGGCTAATACATGTTGATTTACACAATAAAACTCCTTCAGTAACACAGAAAAAATACATACAATAAATACTAAAGTGAAAAGGGGGGTTGCCTGGCCAGTCGATGAAGCATCTGCCTTCGGCTCAGGTCATGATCCCAGGGTCCTGGGATCGAGCCCCGCAGGGAATCTGCTTCTCCCTCTCCCTCTGCCGCTACGCCCTCCCCAGCTCGTGCTCTCTCTCTCTTGCTCAAATAAAATCTTAAAAAAAAAAAAAAAAAGAACAAAGCAGAGAACAAAATTTTATGTATGGTGTGACCTCAAGTGTGTTCACATCAAGTGTGTTAAGCAGAAGTAGGAAACACAGATGGAGAAACTCCCAGTCCCTCAGGCTACCTGCAGGGGGGCTCAGGCAGTCTGGGCCCCAGTGCACCGCGTGCTACTTTTTAAAAAATAAAAGTCACATGTCACTTTGAAGTTTTAGAGGGAAGAAACCATAAGAAAGGCTCCTGTGCACCCAGTGTACAAGCCACAGCAGGCCTTTGGGGCGCACAGCTCAAGAGGAGCCCTGGCTGGGAGTGGCTGATGCTGACACCACGGCCAGACTGGGGTCCCCCATCCACGCAAGGAGCCAGCCGGGCCGGAGGAGGGGCTGCCTACAGGAGGGCCCAGGCCCCACTCGGCCCAGAGCCACAGTCACCTGGCAGAAAGCCTTGTGCCATTCGAGGTCGAAACCGATGACGTGACGAACACTCCTCCAACTGATCCCTGAGCCATCTCTGAAAAGACAAGAACACAAAGCAAAGGTCACAAAGAGGCTCACGCTACCATGAGGTGGGTACGGGCCAGAGAGCTGACCGGCCAGTGGTTTCTCTGCCGGGACACCGGCCGTCCTCCCAAGAAGGCACCCCATCCTGAATTTACGCGATACTGTCGGAAAGTGGAAAGCGGGGCCGCAGGCGGGAGGACCCCGACTCCCCATCCTGGGAGACAGCACGCACAGGAACGTGGCCAGCGTCGGGGGCTTCTATGGCATGCCGGCTGGGACACCTGCCGACAGCTGCTACAGTCTGATGCAGCCCAGCGGCTAGGGGGGCGGCCCACAGCACGGAGCGGGGCAGGCCCAGCAGCTTTCTCACCACAAAGCGCCTGCCCTGTGGCCACGTCCCCACCGCCCCACAAAGGCCTCCCAGCAGGTAAGCGCGGCAAGAGAAGCAGAGCGCAGCTGCCCAAGCAAACACCTCCTCAGCCCTGCGTCAGGAGGAGGCGCAGAGACCCCCTCGGAGGCTTTTCTGGGTTACCTGCCCACGCAGGCCACCCACCCACCTCGGGGGAGCCGCCACGCCCTCTGAGAATTCCAGCCTCTCCCTACTTGAACCCGGAAGGTGAAATCCTAACTTAACACCTTCATCACATAAACTACACCGACAAACCCATAAAATGCCAACGTGGCCTCCACGCACCACAGTCCCCACAGGCACCCTGCCCGCCACCCCCAGCACCCCCATCCCCACAGCCCCTCCCCGCAATCGGCTGTCTCCACTCTTGGTACCAAGTGCAGAGTCGGCCTCAGCAAAGGCGGGCCACACATCCAGAGTGGGGTCTGGCCCCGCGGCCACCAAGGGAACCAGACACGACGGACCTGTCACGTAGGGTTCCAGCGCTTTCGGCACCAAACTCCTCGCCATCTTCAGGTCTTCGGCGGAGCAACTTCCAGACTCCAGCCCGCAGGCCATCCCCATGCGCTTCAGCACCTCTATGTCATCATGGATCTCAAATGTGTTGTCAAAGTTGAACAGATACTCGAACCTGGGGGACAAAGTCACCGTCAGAAAAGGAGTCACTTGCCATGTTCATCGCAGCGCAGGGCCCCGAGCGGAGACGCCCCACTCAGCCCAACCTCCCTCGTCCGCCCCCACTTCATCTGGCACCCTCCAAATCCCATCCACTCAGAAGCGGTGGCACATGACAAAGCTCTGCGGCCCAGGCAGCCCCCGAGCGTGGGGCAGCCCACCTGCGCCCTGGCCGACAGTGAACACTGGCTGCTGTTTGTACAAGGGTTCAACGGCTCTGCTAGCAACAACCCTGACAGAGTCTGTTTTCCTTTTACAAGATAAACACAAAACCAAGGTTGTGAGAAATAAGTCTATAACTTCGTTACGCTACAAGACTCTTCAACAATCAGATACTTCTACGAAGTGACGGACGTGCTGCTGACCATGACGGTGTCATTCTCCACTGGCCTGAGGCTCAGCTGGGACCTCAGGGCGGGGGCCCACCTGTCATTGGACCTACTTGTCATTGGAAATGCTGCAATCGATCACAGTCTTCTTGCTGGTGTTGACGATGATGAAGGGCAGGTGGATGACGGAGTTGGGAGGCGGCGGCCGGCTGGCCTGCTGCTCCGCCTGGCGGTTCCTCTGCACCAGATTCTTGAAGGCAATTTGCTATAAAAGATGAGCCACCAGCACATGCTCACACCAGCTGCCACCAACCTAAAGCCTTGTCCGTGAGTGTCGCGGACGACCCAGCCCAGCCCCCAGGGCAGCAACGGGGGTTGGGCCCCTTGAGAGGTGAGAGCAGCTGGGGGATGCCAGGCCTGGTGCGGGCCAGGCAGAGCGCGCGCACCCTAAAACCAAACACCCCAAGGGGAATGGAGGCAGGCGCTCACGCCGCTAAGACAGAAACCTGTCCCAGGAGGGCTACAAGAAACGCGTCAATGCTGAAGCTACACCCCTCCTGTCCCTTCCGTGTCCCGAGAAGGCGGACGTTCGGCTGAGCACCCGGAGCCTCCCAGAGCAGCAACAGAAGTAGACCCGCGGGCACGGGGCTCTCTGGTGACACACACCTTCAGGCTAATTCCCCTGCAGTTAAAGCCAGAAAGCACCCCTCCCGCCACAGTGCCCCTCGAGGGGACCTGGGGCTCACAGCTTAGCAGGAGAGGCGGTGACTGGATCTTTTCTGTGACTGGATCCCTGCTGTGGATGCCGCAGGGACCTGAGAGGAAGAAAGAGGGACCGCTGCCCGGAAGACGTGCGCCTGCTCTTCTCCTGTGTCCCTCGGCCCTGAGGCCGCTTCCCACCCGCTGAAGCACTCACTCCCTGCTCTGGATGCCTCTGCTGGCGCAGAGGAGTGACCCCGGGGCCCCCATGCCGAGTGCACCCAGTGGGGCAAGACGCACACCCTCTGCCATGGTCTGCAGGTGCTGGGCCAGCACGTGTCCCAAGCCCCTCACCGACCCCTCCTGGCCTTTCCCCGTGTTCAAATATCTCCCAACATCAGACATTACGCCTGTCCTCAGACCCTGCTACACGTCCCCACAGGGTCCCAGGGCTCCCCCATGCTCCCTCCACAGGCACCTCAATAAATCGCTGCTAAGCCATGCTCCCTTCCTTGGCCAACCACCACTTCCATGGCGGCTGCCCCCATACCCCAAGCCCCCGCCAGACAGCACCACACGGCCTCGGTCCAGGGACCGGCCACCCCCGACATGTGTACCCCCTGGTACACATCTCTGTTTCTGCTTCCAACCCTGAATGGGCATCTCCAGGACCCTGCAGGGATGAGGGCCACACTTGGGGACATCTCTGCAGGTGCAAGGGATGGCGACACATGTCCACCATCCCACATGCTGACCCTTGACCCACAGTTGCCATTTCACACCCCTGGTCTGGGGTCTGGTACTCAGAATGCACTTCATACCTGTCCCAAGGAAGCTTCACGTGCTGCCTTCCAAGGGGCATCCCTCCCGCCATTTAGACTTTGTGACAAGCAGCACACACGCGGCACGTTCCCTTTCACATACACACACTCTCTCTGGGAGTAAGGCCCATGCCTATAAGAGTTCATGTCGACAACACCTGAGCAGAAGCTCAGTGGTGCTTGTGAAATGTCCATTCAAACTCTCAAAGGAGAGATTCTCCACGGCAGACATGCGCCAAGGCCGCAGACAGTATTGAACCCTGCTTATCTGCGTTTCCTCCTAGACCTGCGCTCTAGGACAGAGCTTGTAAGCAAGGAACGGTAAGAGATGGACAGTAAGGGGCGCCTGGGGGGCTCAGTCGTTAAGCGTCTGCCTTCGGCTCAGGTCATGATCCCAGGGTCCTGGGATGGAGCCCCGCATCGGGCTCCCTGCTCCGCGGGAAGCCTGCTTCTCCCTCTCCCACTCCCCCTGCTTGTGTTCCCTCTCTCACTGTGTCTCTCTCTGTCAAATAAATAAATAAAAAATCTTAAAAAAAAAAAAAGATGGACAGTAAGAGCAGAGTGGTTGGGACAACGCCCGGAGAAAAGCTGCGTGGACGCCCCTCCCGCCCTCCGTCCGCACAGGAAGAGGCGCAGGCGCAGGACGTGCTCTGGACCTTCCGATGCGTCCAGGCAGCAGATCAAGGGGCACAGGGGACGCCGCAGCGGGAGGGAGCCAGACTGGCAGAGAACAGCGCCCTTACCTGCAGGATGAGCTCCTGAAGCTGAGACTGTTTCTGCTTGATCCTTTCCAGCCTCCTCTGCCTCTCCACCTTCAAAACAAAGACAGCGGCATTACAACGCATCCAGCAGCGCCCCCCAGGTACGTGCTCACGGAATCCGTTTGCCGAAATCTGACGGCGGGCAAAGACCTAGAGCCGACCAGGCACGTGGGACAGGACGGGGGGCGGGGGGGGGGGTCTCTTCAATCTCAAAACTGCACACTCTTCTCCATCTTCTCTCGTCTTCTGGACACAGCAGCTGTAAGACTCAAAACCCCACCACCAGGGAATTTCCTACGCTGGGGTTTGCTGCAGGCTGGATGGGCAGCACGCCAATGTTCGGTGGGCAAGCATGGGGCCCAGGAAAGCAGCTGACCCCCAGTCCAGGCCAGGCACACACAGCACCAGACCCTGAGCAGGCACCCCCAGGACACACAACAGAAACGTCCGCTCCAAACACCTGCTCTGGGGCAAATCCACAGGGGCGCAACAGGAAATAGGTGAGCCGTGTACCTCTAAATTCTGACATTCCTGAGCCGAGTTGGTGGGCAGACCAATCCACTTGATCTCCTTTTTCTCCTTAGAGATGATGTTCATGGCCATCAGCACGTTTAAGGCATCATAGACTCGCCGTCTTATGTTCTTCTGGTCGTAAGCCTGGTGGAGGACGAAGCGTGAGCTTTCCAAACGGTCCAGAATGGCTCACGGACCCAGAATACATGCAGGAAAAGGCACCATCAACCTGCTCATGCCCCGTGAACCCCCCAGCGGCAGCTAGATCACGCCCAGCACATCCCCACTGAGCCCCGAGGAAGAGGGACTTTCTCTAGGGAGCTGGCCTGATAGGAGCCAGAGCCTGCACATCCCACATCCCAGCATCTGGGGAGGATAAGGCGTCACGCCGCAAACAGGTCCAGGAAATTCTTTTGCATTGTCCTCTGAACTGTGTCTCCAGTTGTTTCAGAGAAACCCAGAGGGAGCCGTACGACGCTGGGGCGTGTCCCTGTCACGCGGCACATACTCACAGACTCGTTTGGTAGGATGTGGTTGTCGGCAGCACTGAACTCTGCGACCAGCTCATCGGCCACCTCGTTGTAGGACGTGGTCCCCTTCCTCTGCACCTTCTCGCAGACCTTCATGGAGAAGTGCCTCAGGCCCTTCCCGTTCTTCTCCCCTTTCCTGTGGCGCTTCCTTCAAAAATACAAAGGCACAGCGCCCTCAGCACCCTCCGTGCCAGCCCCAGGGCGACACACGTTCACCCACAAGGCTAGCAAGCTGGGCTCGGGCCAACACCCCGGGCACAGCTCCAGGGACCTGGCTCGTGTGCACAGCGCACTGGGCACAGAGCGCACTGGACGCAGCCATGGGGCCAAGGCTCCCTTGCTTTCTTTAGGGGCCAGAAAACAAACTTTTAAGTGGCCAGGCCTCACATCTGCACCGGCTCCCCGGAAACACGGGGCAGACACCCAAAAGGGCAGGAGCCAGTGCGTATCTACTGCATCCTGATACACCAACACCGCTTCTTAAAAAGATGTCCACAGACGTGGGAATTACGGAACTTTTACGGCAAATTTAAGAACTTTGAGGGAAAATTTGAGCAGACTACGAGCCGAGGCGGCGTGGAGACCACGTCAGCCGTGTGGCGGCGGCACCCGACACTGAAGACCGCAGTGCGCTTCAGATCGCGGGAAACCCTGCGTCTCAACTTGTTAAGTCACCACGTCAAGGAAAGGGTGGCTCTGAGTTTCTCACTGGATGATTCGGGGAATCATGATTTTTGCTTTAGAACCAATACAGACAATAATGCCAAAAAGCTTTGTTTTTGTTTTTAACGAAAGTCACAGAGCTGACCTCTGAGTAAAACTATTTTCTCACACGGTCAAGGTGACAGTGTGGGGGCCCCCGCGGGGCCACCGTGGGGCAGCAGAGTTACAGAGCTGCAGTGGGTGAAGCGCCGTGAGCGGGCACGTGGGCGCACTGTTCCCTAGATGCTACTTTCCAGCGCAGACAACGGGAAAAGCGCTAAAGTCACAGCAGCGCTGAGAAGCCAGCTTCCTCCTCCTCTTCGGCCACAAGCTGCCCACCCCTTACGGTGCCGCCACCCCCGAACCGCGGGGCGCAGCCCCCCTGCAGCCAGACTTCTCCTTTACGAGGAAAAGTGCACCTTGACTACGTCTATTCCGGGCACGACGGCCGGGCACGTGGCACAGAGAGCTGGGGGTTACAATTCTAGGCAATGTGCTCACCCGGCAGACCAAGGTGAGGGGTCTGAAGGCTGGTTCTGTGAGACAAAGTGAGTGTTAGGGGTGTGTGGGCTTCCTACCACGATAGTGTTGGGCGCTGCAGGTCTCTGAGGCGTACCAATTACCTACAGTCAAAAGAGACAATTCAGAACACAATCAGCAATCTCCCGCATACGACCCTGCCATTTTACCATTTCCCATTCTCTAAAGGTACTGCCGAGTTCCATAAACTACGAAGATTGGAGAACACGGTCGCGTGAGCACCAATGGCTGACACTGCTGAGCTAGAGACGCCATCAATCGGCACTTCTGTTCTGAACGAGCTGTGTCCCTCACTGACTTCAGGTGTCTTCCCCGGTTCAACAAAAGCAGCAGGAACCATCCCACCCCAGCAAGCCCTAGCCCCACGGAACAGCGAGCCCCGGGGATATTGCCCAGGGAGGTTGCCCTGGGGAGGTCTCCCAAGAAGGTCATGGTTAGTGGAGGTGCCTGCAAAGCGAGCCTCAGGGCACTGTTCCCGCTGTTCCTCTCGCCCTAGTTTACTTTCCCTTCCTTTTAGTGACGCAGATGAGGATGAAACCCTCTCTTCCGGGGGTGCTAAACTAAGGCCAAAGCACAAGGATCGCACACCGCGTGTGGGAGCCTCATCCCAACAGCGGCTCTGCGGGGGACCCAGCACCCCGAACAGTGCAGCATGGGAGCGCGGGGGGCAATCAGCACTGGGAGCAACAGACACACACCCCAGGGCGAGGGCAGCTCTGGGGATGGCAGTGTGACCCGCCCCGCACGTGGCTAAGTCTGAGCACCCCACGCCATCTCTTCCCCGAAGGAAGGGAAAGCCCGGTTTGTCTTCAACAAGGACTTAGAATGTGGTCCCATTGATTAATATGCAAATGTTCACACACAGGACACACAGACGCTGCTGTGCAGCCAAGTCAAATCCCAGTTTTCTAGGATCTTGTACATGACTCCACCCACACCAAAGAGCTGATCCAGGAAAACGGTTCAGAAACATGATTTCTCCGGTTCTGCACAGCCGAGTGCCCCCGAGTCACCGTCGGGCACCAGGCGCTGGGGCAGCCCTTCGCGGGGGCGGGGCGCAGCCTCGGGGACTGGCCGTGCACGCCGGGCGGGCCCCTTCTTCACAGGAGGCGTGTACTGCCTGCTGTGGCCGGGGGACAGCTGACCGGGCTGACCTAGGTCAGGTCACCGGTCAGGGCTAATGACCCATAAGCCACAGAAAGAAAAAACACTCTCAATTTCATTCTTTTAATTCACATTTCCAAGGATCAAAATTTCATTACAGTGTTTTCCAAATTGTGGCTCACTCTCATTCAAAAGCCATGAAATCAAACAGCAAGCTTTCTGAAAAAAAGAAAGAGGGGACAGAAAAAGAGAATGAATCCCCAGAGAGGAGACGCGCCTCCCAAACCTTGTTTCTGTTAAATGAGTGTGTTCGGGGCCCTGGCTCACTGTGGAGAACGCGCTTTAGCCGAGGCTCAAGGCCAGCAGTTTGGGACACTCGGGAAGCCTGAACACATTCTACACGGACTGGGTCGGAGAGTGGATTTAGGACACCAGCACCCAGGCAGATGGGCAGGAGAGCCCCCGGAGGGCTGCCTGACGTGATCTGGGCCCCCGCAGCCAACCCGCCGCTGTCGTTCTCTCCCTAAGCTGGACCTCTTGGTGCGACTGGTCCACATGAGAACGAAAGTCAGAGGACCAGGCACACAGCAGGTGCTCAGTACCTGCTCACTGCACGACAGGGAGCTGTTCTCTCTCCGCTCCTCCCGCATCTTAACCGCTCTCCTGGAAACCATGCCCATGGGCACCAACTCGGGCAGCACCGGGGCCTGAGCCCCTCGAGAGCCAAGGCACGCTCACATCCCAGGGGGACAAGGCTCTCGGGTCACAGCGCGCCGGTCCTTCTGTCCTCAACCGTCCGGCAGACAAAGCTGAGGGAGCCCCGCGATGTGTAAGCTGTAGCCCACAGTGCTGGGGTTCGCGGAGGATGAGTTACCATCACTAGCTGCCCCGAAACAACCAGATTCGGACCAGGGCCACAACTTCCAGGCTGATAAAGTTTAAGGCACCAACAGACAAATCTTCATGTTAACGTTCCTCACTACTATTTATAACCATAGAAACAGAACTACTCCTATGAGGTATTCCCAAGCTAAATCTGCTGTGATACATAGTAACTAAAAATAATGAGTTACAGAATAAAACACAAAATGGAATATTTAACTTATATCAAAAAGACGTTTACTAAAAAGCTGTGATGAGCCAAATATGGTGTAGGACTTCGACACAGTGTTGCTTTGGAAAAAATCACAGCAACTCTGCTAGGAAAAGCAGTCATATCCTCTGTTGGGGGTGAAGTGGGCACACGCACAGTTGCCCAGGGTGTTCACCCAGGAGTGGGAGCTCAGGTCTGCCCAGAGCAGCTGGGCAGTCAACATCCTTCTGTCGCTGCTACGCATGGCCCAGGAGGAGGGGCGGCTTCAATCTGACCAGAGTTCCGTCAGGGAGGGCCCACTGAACCCACCCACAGGTGATCAGTAAGCAGGGGTACCCAGCACAGTCCCAGGAGCACAGACCCACCTCTGCCTCCTGCTAGCGGGTGGGCCAGAGCAGGGACACCTGTCCCAGCACCTGACAGCCTACAGAGCCCTAAGCCCACTGTGTGTCCTGCAAGGACCCCACCCTCATTTCCCAGGCAAGTAACGCTCACGCCGAGGAGGATCAAGGCCAGGCGCTGCCACCCCCACATAACTCCACGCTCTGGGGCAGACATGGGGTGAGCGGGACACATGTAGCAGGAGGGGAAGGTGCCTGGCCTGAGCCCGCAGGCGGGCCTGAGCCAGAGGAGTGCACACTCGTCCCAGCACCGCGAGCATCCGAGAGGGCACTGCAGAAGGCAGACCTCACACCCCAACCTCTGCACCAGAGCTACAGGCCACCGTCAAGAATTGGCAAGCCCACCTGCCCAGGGCCCCTTACCACTTGCTGTGCAATGTTGACATTGGACTGTCCGAATGTTTTTGGCAAGAGCTGCTTCCCCAGCGTGTTCACTGTGGAGGGGTGGACAGCTACCAAGGACACCACGCCTGCAACGCAAGGAGGTAACAGGTTAGTTCTGTTCTGGATTAAGGCTAAATGGGACAGCTTCAGGACGATGATGCTTCTAACCAGAGATCCTTACTTTACCCACCTTAGGTCTGTGGGTCAGCTGCAAATACTTCTAAGTTCAACTCTCATCTTCAGGCATCTGCGTGGGACATGATCACCTGCTCTCCCACCCAACCAGCCCCTCCTGGGTGCTTCTGTGTCCAGGGGGCAGGGGCTCAGGTGTCCTAGGCACATCACCGACCTGCCCCGAACCCCTGTGGGGCTGCCTGCCCACCCACGGAATATTCTGGTGGGCCACAGGGTCTGGGGAGAGCAGCTCTTGAAAACCTAACAATTCTGTGACAATTAGAGTCTTCTAAATGCCCCAGCATTTCTCTCTCTGTTTGCAAAACTAGTTTAGAAACCTACACTCTTGTGGCTCAGTCAGTTGAGCATCTGACTCTTGGTTTCCGCTCGGGTCTCAGGGTCGTGGGACTGAGTCCCATGTCAGGCTCTGCACTCAGTGTGGAGTCGGCTTGAGGTTCTCTCTCTCCCTCTGCCTCTCCCAGCTCCACCCCCACATGTGTTCATGCTCTCTCCGAAAAAAAGGAAAAAAGAATTCTAAAGAAATCTAACACCCTTCTTCCTTAAGAAGTAGAATCACATCTCTGTTTCTAGGAAGAGAAATGCCTGGGGAGGAAGTTGCCCCCTCTCTGAACACACAGATGGACATAGGAGGAGCAGAAATACTCATTCCTTCAAGTGTTTGCTAAGAGTTCTGTATGCCTGGCTCTGTCTTTGGTGTTAGGCATACAACAGTGAGTAAAAATGGTAAAACACTTTATTTTACATAATAAATAATAAAATCAAATGAAGTAGGAATGATAAAAATTCAAAATACAGAAACAAAGCCCTTCTCCTGACAGCCTCAAAAGGCAGAGAGAAAACAAAGGGAGTGTGTACAGAGGTGCCTGGAGACCCGGGAGGGCGAGCAGCGTGCACACCATCCGAGCCTTACTGAGAAGGGCCTGAGCGCCCTGGAGAAGAAGCAGACCGACTCCTGGTCTCCCAGTCACTGCCGCATGGGGGGCGGAGAAACCCTGCCCGGGTCATCACGCTTTGCATCCCCTGGCTCCTGGAGCAGACCGGTCTCCTGCGGCCACCCAGGGTGAGCACGGGACCCTGCGGCGGGCGGCGGGGGGAGGGCCTCGAGCCCGGTGGGACAAGGATGACATTTCCTCTGCTTCACAGGCTCTGCCTCGTGATGGCCTCCAAATACGCAAACACTGTCCTCCTCCAGCCTGGCCTTCACTTCTGAGCCCTTTACAGTCCATGCATTTTAAAGAACAGACTTCAGAATTCAGTAAAACAGTGACTCTTACTGCTACGCACAAACACTGAATAATTTCCTAACAGCACAAGTCGACCAAACCAACGGGCTAAATATTAGCATTTTTACCAACCAACACCAACAGGTATTTATTTTCTGTAAATATTTGCTTTGAGTTTTTTATTTTCCTCTAAACATAGAGACCTGTATCTTAGCAAAAGCAAATTTTTAACAATTGTTTTAGATATGTAAAAGATGTTTTAAAAGATAACAAAATTATTCTATCTTGCACAGAGATTTAAAACATCACTTTTCAGATTCATGTATAGGTTAGTAATTAGGTTTCTAAGAATACTGAACTGATTCACTGAAAAACATAAAATTATTTTTTTAAATTTGCAAATGACGCCCTGTCAACACCAGCGATCCAGGCAGTTCTCATGATGTGTCTTAAAGCTTATTTTGCACGTCAAATAAATGATGTTAGAACACAGGGGCCAACGGGTCGGGCGCTCGTCTCTGGGGCTAACCTGCAGGTCCGCCACAAGGCCACCTACCAAAGGGACAACACAAACCACCCAAAACCCCAGGAACGTCTTTCTTAAAATTAACATGCTTGGAGCTCCCCCCAGCTGGGGGAACGAGGAGGAGAGCAGTTTGGGCAACAGCAGGGCTGAGAGGCAGAAGTGGATCAGGGCCAGGACCCCTTTCCTGGACGACACCACCTGTCCTTCCCACCAGGGTCTCGTCCTTGTTTTACTAAGTGAGAAACTCTTCAACACAAAGAATTACTCTGCAGACAATCTTGCTCCAGAGTACAAGCTAGGACTGACTACGACCATTCTATCCTATTTGCTGAAGAGGCTTGAGGAGCAGAGCTAATCTCGCCGTCCACCGACCCACCCCATCCCTGCCCACAGCCATCAGGGCTTGAGGGATGCACTCCGTCTGTGTTTCATACTTTCCCACGCACATCCATGAATCTGAGAAAATACAAGTATTACTGGTGTGGGCCTTTGAAATCTAGAAAACGACAGTCTGCCGCTTTGCTTACACTATTGTTGGGACCCATCCACAGAAAGATCTAGCTGATGCCTTTAACGCTGTGCCGCTACCCCGGTAACAGGTCGGCTGTGTGAATGCACAGAAGCTCCTACTACGATGTGGTGGCTAACGCTGGACGGGCCTCCTCCTGCTGAGTCTCCGGATGTCCAGGGAGTCCAGTCAATCTCCAGCTCAGTCCAGGTGACCATCTGTGTTTGGGCTTCAGCCCAGCACATCCCCACGGCCATTCCGCACATGTGCGTGCAGACACACGTGTGCTCATGCGTGGGCACGTGCCCTGGCAGACACGCGCACACACACATGCACACACAGACACGTGCATGGACACACACGCACCCCAGCAGACATGCACACGCAAACATATGCACACACATGCACGGGCATGCGCCCCAGCAGACACACTCACGCATGCACACATGGGCACGCGCCCCAGCAGCCAGTGTCCCTCTCCCAGGTTCCTGCCAACTGCTGACTCAGGAAGACACAGCCCTTTTTGTCAATCTCAAGGACGGGATTTCATTTCTGGTTCAATCTGGCCACAGAAATTAGAATGTTTAACATCCTCTTCCAACAAAGACCGCCACACACACAACCCACTTGCAGGGCTTAGGAATTCACACTTCAGTTACAAGACAAGCGAGATTACAACAGCCTAGAAATCTACTCACTAGAAATAGTATTATTTTAATTGTAAAACGTACTTAAAAGCCTTTTATTAAGGGAACTATGTAACACGGTATTTTCAAATATAACATCATGAAATGGAGGATTCCTTTCCCGGCAAGAAAATGCGTTAGGGACACGTGTGGTCTGAACTGCCGTAACCACTAACAGAAAAAGGATCCTAAAAATATTATGTAAACGTATTGTAATTAGTAATCACAACCTATTAATATCTACAGGTTTTAAGATACCTTAAATTATGAAATCGTAAGGCTGAATGTTTTCTTGAAAACAATTTTAACCACTTTTAAGTTCTGACAACCTAACGTTTTAAGAGTTACTATTTTGCCCACCATACTACAGATATTGCATACGCTGATATGGCCAAAAGGGCCACCAGAATGTGTCCTCGGTGCGCACGGCTCCGCGCCAGGCAACAGCAGCAGTTCCAGGACAGGCTTGCTCCTAGGGCCACTGCGGCGGCTACGTCACCTCCCACGCTCGCTGCTCACCAGCTGAGCACCCTGAAAGGGGGAAAACAGGCTCTGCAGGGGCTCCCCCGGTCTGAGCGGAAGTGCGCCGTGCCTCAGGGTGCCTGCTCTGACCGAGGCGGGTCGACGACGCCCTCACCATTCGTGTGCTCAGTGCGCACTCTTCTGGGCACCGTGGCCGGTCACCATCACAAGCCCAGAAGCAGGGCTCAGAGGCTGGGACGTCACTCCGTGCTCTAGGCGTCCTCTGGGTTTGAACAGCTGGGAGGAGAAAACAAGCTGATGCCTCTACTCCACGTTCCCCAAGAGGGCAGCCTCTGAGGGGCTGAGCGAGTCCTGCTGTTTCCTCCTACAGCGGGGCCCCTCTCCAAACCGCCGCACAAACACCAGTCTGAACGGACCCACTGTGTGCACAGGTGTGTGTGTGTTTGGGAGGGTGCAGTCACCACGTCTCAAGGATTACACAGCGATGCCACATTTTCAGCCACAAAGCACACCCCAAAATTTCATCTCTCCTGCTTTAGAGCCCTTCTAAAAGGAGAGGCAACACTGAAGCAAAAGCCCAGTGCCGCACGCCACGGGAGATGCCCTCTCACCTGCCAGATGCGGCCATGGACGCTGGAGCAGTGCTCCGCAGAGACGGACCTGCCCCCCACACGGAGCACACGCGGGCACAGAGCTCTCTGGGGAGAAGAGGGGTCTCTGTCAACAATCGACAGGTATCACAGCTCTCCACAAAAAGGTGGCACTAGAAACTCCAGGAATGGCCCAGCGACAGCCAAGTGTTAAGTCACACACTGCGGGGACTGGATGAGCACCCACGCAAGCATGACACGCCCCAACACTGCGTGTCAGGAAAGTGTTTACGGAATGGTGAAGACACGCTTTAACTGTACTCAGGCAACTCAGGGTTTCTTCAGGGAGCATGTGTTGTGTGTCTAATAAAGAAAAATTTTTTTGGAAGGGTCCAAGCAAGGATTTGCAGCCAGAGACCCGCACGTGAGCTGTGGCCCCAGGCAGGCAGCAGGTGCATCGGGAGGGGGAGGGTGCACGCATGGCGGGGGATGGCGGCCTGAGCCCCAGAGTAGCAGCCAGATGACTGGCAGAAGAGAACCAGGTAGGAACACTGGAGAGAAACTGGGCCAGCAAAGGCCCTGGACAGACCCCTACCAGGAGGGCAGGCCCAGGAGCAAAATGGCGGAGACCCACTGGGGCCACCAGAACCCAAAACACGGGAAGGGGGAGTGCTGCTGCAGGTGTGCAGGGCCTGGGGCGCTCACGTGTTTGGTGCAGATGCAAAATGGTGCAGCCACGCACACATGCCACGTGATCTGGTTTCCACTCCCGAGCATCAGCCCAAAACACAGGAACAAATGTGCGTGCAAAGGTTGACACAGCATTACAGCCATGCGCAAAACACTGGAAGTAACCGACGCTGTCACAACCAAGACTGCACACAAAAATTTCCCGTCTCCAACTGCCAGGGCTCTGGTCCTCAGGGCCGGTGGGTACAGAAAGCTGTGATGACCGACTTGATATGCCCACCTGCCAAGGTGCCCATCCCCAGCTATCCAATCGCAGGCCAGCCGGCGGCTGCTCTGGAGCCAATAAGCCGACTTCAGGGAAAGGAGACCACCCTCCAGAACCACCTAACCAAACCAGGGCTTTCAGAGCAGAACCCAGGTTTCCCCAAGGAGGAAGGAGTGCTGCCTGGGTCCAGCCTGCTGGCTCGCCCTGCACATTTCAGACCTGCCAACCCCCTCGTCACGTGGGCCAATTCCACCAAATTCCACTTCTCTCACACTCGCAACATGCCTCCCACAGGCCCTGCTTCTGGAGAAGCCTGTGGACACTGGGATCTGGAAATGGGCCCACACACAGCAGCAAAGCAGAGGCACGGGCAGCGCTGAAGGCCCAGATGGTGAGCAGTCGCGGTCAGGACACAACAGGGCAAGAGCAACAAGCCCCGCCTGGGAGTGCACAGGACCTCCGTGGGGGGGGTGGGGGGTGGGCATCACAAGCCAGAGCTTGGACAGGAGCACAACACAGGAGGCAGGGAGGAGGCCTCGTCTCAGGAGGGGCTCACTGACCCCAGCCGAGGGCAGCAGGGACCCCGTGAGTGCCCAGGCCCAGTACAACTCAGATGCCAGCCCATTCCCAAATTCTCTCTGGGTGGACCTGGGAGCGGTGGCAAGCTGGTCCTGCAGGTGCAACACGCGGGGCGCAGGGGTGCGGGGTGCAGGGGCACAGGGGCGCAGGGGTGGGGGCAAAAAGAGACCGGCCCCTGCCCCTCAACGCCCAGCCTGCACCGGGCCTGGACTGCAGCCCTCCTGCCCCTCAAGGTCACTCCAGCAACAGCTCTCCAGCACACACCGCCGGCCACGCCCCTGGGCTCCCGGACAAGCTTGTGCTGGAGGGTCTGGGCCTCACTCACCACGACCCTGGCTGAGACTTTGCCAAACCTCCTTGGGAAGTGCCTGCAGTGACCACTGAATCAGACAACACAGTGTGACCCCCACGGGCTCCTCAACCTAATGAAACACCAGTGAATAACCCAAAGGGAAGAGCTCAAGTCAGCACCACACTGCCTAAAATTACCCTTCAAACTCCTGAGTCTGAAGCAAAGGGGACTGGGGGTGGAAACGGTCTCGATGGGCAGACAGGATGAGACAGAGCTTGAGCAGTCAGACAACCTGGTCCTGCTCCGTCCACGGCCAGAACAGCACCGGGCTGCCCGTCCGACAGACAAACAGCTCTGTTGATCAGAAGTGCAGGAGAAGCCTGGCGGCACTCAGCCTGCACGGGCAGGGCCAGAGCTAGGGAGCAGGTCGTAGAGATGTGGTCACGGGCTTTCTCGCACCCAGAACACCCCTGAGGTGCAGGGGCAGGAGCCCCAGAAGAAGGCAAGGAGCGCAAGCATCTGGGAGGCCAGGCTGGTCCCAGCAGAGGTGCGGAAGCAGAGGCAGAAGCCAGGAGAGCCTCGAGGGGCAGCTCTTCTGCGTCCAGCCAGGAGTGGAGCACGGAACCCGCTGGGGGCGCACCCCGGGCAAGATAAGGGGGCTGCAGAGCGGCCAGACCACACCCAAGAAGGACACGAAATACTTAAACAGTGCAGGCAGCTAACACCGGAATATTCTAATGAACTCAAGGAGCTGTTTTCTGGTCCAGTTCAACCCCCTGCCTCACGATCAGACTCCGCAGGACACAAGCCCTCCTCGTAAGAAGGAAAAGGGGACAAGCAGCATGTGATAATAAGCGAGACTCTCAGAGTATCCAAACAACAAAGACATTCAAGATAAACACCAGAATGAAAGATTTCCATATTTCCAAGGGAGCAAAGTTTGTGGCCTTTTTTCACGATTATTTCTGCTTCATCACTTTAACAGAACACGTCATGCCTACTCCTGTCAGTTACACTACCGCGTCTCTCACTCAGGCAATCTGTGAATGGTGAAAGCCATCGAGATAAACCGTCTGCACACACTGAACCCCTCAGCGGGCTCTCCGTTCTTGTATAGGAAGCAAAAGAGCAAGGGATCCACAGAAAAGCAGGACACTGCTTACGACCTTCCAAAAACAGAGAAACCAGGAGAGCACGTGCAGGCCCACAGCCCGTCCTGGGGGAGAGCGGCCAGTGGGACAAGGAAGACCAGCGGAGCCTGGACAGGGAGCAGGCCAGGGGCCCTGCAGGGCACGAGAGCCTCCATGGGCATCTGAAGGTGATGTCCCAAAGCAACAGAGGGGACAGGGCATAAGCCTGCCACCCTAAACCACGCCGGCCTGCTGACCCACACAGGAAGGGCCCCACAGGGCAGGAGACGGCTGGACTCCTATACCACTCACCAGCAACAGATGGACGGGAAGGGGCTGGGACACAGCACCCGTTTCGGGAGCCAAGAGATCCCGTGTCCCGGCCTCCATCCGGCTGATGCGGGCAGAGCAGAGGTTGCGGAAGTGACCCAGCGCTATGGGCAGCCTGCGGTCGCCTGCCATCTCCTCTGATTGCAGCTTCCACGGCTAGTCCACCCAAGGAAACAAGCAGCGGGCTCAAACATACTGGCAGACGTTCCTCACGGTCACTCGACGTGGGGAGCCGTGGGGCCCCGGGGGAAGAAGGGGCTTCGACCAATCCACCTCCGCGCCTGCCCCTGAACATACACACATGGCTTCCTGACGGGGAGGACGCTCGTCCACACACGAGGTATGCACCATAAGCTTTGGATTCGAGTCTGTTCTGGTCGGCGCCCGTGTCCAGAGCCGACACCTGGAGGGCTCACGGCAGCCCTGAGGTGGAGGAAAGCACGTGCCCTGGGTTCTCCGCACTTCTTCACATTCCTGAACCTCTGCGAACTGTATGACTTACAGACCAAGATGAACTCCACCGCTGCCATGTGCCCGCAGGTGGCGTGTCCAGCTGAGCTCCAAACACCGCACCACCCCTTCCATCAGGGGCCCTGGGCCAGAGCACTCCCGCAGCAGGGTCCCCACCGCTGACCGGGACTCTCACGCCAGAGAAATTCACAAACACACCAAACTCAACACTCTTATCAACAGAACTGTATTTCAGAAAGAGACGCCTTACCTTTTCCAGGACTAAGGTTCTGGTCTATGAAGACCTTGAGTTCCCCGTTGGCTTCAATTAGACCGGCCTGCAGAAAGCAACAAGGACAATAAATAGCACGTCTGAAAGAGCAACAAGCCAGCCCGTCTGAGGGAGGTGTAAAATAAAGCATTAAAAGATACAATGGTCACAGTTATGCAAACAAGGGCAGGATGCCATGCAGGGGGAGCAGGGCCTCCCGCCGCTGAGCTCTCTGGCTGGACACTCAGCAGAGAAAAGGTTACTCGAAGATGTCTGCCTCCAAAGCTTAGCCCTTGACGTACTAATGAAACACAGCTTTCGTAGGTGAAGTCCGCATATGCATTAAATGGCAAGCCTGAGACTGGCAGGGGCATACCGTGGGTGGACGTGGAAATTCATCTGACCATCTTGAGGGCAGCCTAGTAATGGGACCTGAGGAGAGGGCTTGGTCAGAGCCCCGGGCACAGCAGTTCCTCCTGAAGCTGGGGAAACGTACCGCGGTGTGCAGAGGAGTGTGGGCACAGCAGGACCGCAGGGTGTGCCTGACAACCGGGGCAGCCCTGCCTCGTGAGCAGGGCACCCGCACAGCGGGGCCGCTGACAGCACAAGCACACTGGGGGCACCAGGGAAGTAACGTCCCAACGCACGGTGCGCAGCAAGGGCCTGCAGGGGCCCCCAGGACGCTACAAGTGGTCGTGTCCAGGTCTAGGAATGATTGCTGCCTTGCTTTCTCCTTTTGTTTATCTAGATTTCCATGGGAAGCAGTGAGTCGTAGGCACGCTACACGGCTGGTGTCCCGAGTCCAGCAGAGGGCATCTGCATGCCGCACTGAGCCAGCACAGGTGCTTCTGCCTGGGGGGAAGGGGGTCCCGGGGAACCGAGCCTCCTGACACCTGCCCTGCCGCAGGCACATGTGGGCACATGCTTACACACACTCACTCACTCACACACATATGTGCACACATCCATAGAGACACGGGCATCTACACCCACATGTAGACACGCATGTGCACAAACACACACACACACACACAAGCCACCACACAGGTCAGTCGGGCCCAGCAGACAAGCCTCTCCCTCCTGCCCTGGCCTCTGACCTCCAGCGACCAGGCCAATGGGATTCCTGGCCTGGCGGGAGCACCCCCAAGAACGCCCAGGAGACCCCGTGGCCCAGGTGTTCAGGGACTCATGCCTGTGTCCACAGTCACCTCACACACACCCACAGAAGCTCACGTCTGTGGGCCTGGACTTTCTTCTCGGGCTGTGTGAGCACAGGCCAGCCTGCGAAGGGGTCTGAGCACAGCTTCCGGTGCCATCCTGCTTTTCCAGGAAGCCCCACTGCCTTCCCACCCGGAGCAAATGCAGACCCCAGGGGCACGGCTGAGGCCGGAGCCTCCATCCTGGGAGGAGCCTCCAGAGGGACACCTCCCAAGCACACCTGTGGCAGTGACAAGCCTGGAGTGCACACACACACAGCTCACCTGAGCCTGGCACAGGAGACCACCCACCTCGGGCCCTGCTGCATCCCAGGCATGGGTTCACTGTCTCCTTTGTGTGCACCGTGAACAAACCAAAGGCACCCAAATGTACAATCCACACAAGAACTCAGAGCATACATCCTGACCTGCTAAATTCACCGGAGATGGAAGTCAGGCCCGCGCAGGTGAGGGGCCACCTGCATGGCCTCTGAGCCTGGCAACACCACATGGGCCACGTTTCCCGGACTCTCCAAAACCCCACCTTCCCACAGAAACTGAGGGAGCCAAGTGTGTGCCCATGAGGATGATCACAGACTGAGGCCTGGCTGGGCTAGAAGATCACCGGCCAGGAGGTGGGTGAAGAGGACTCTCCACCTCCTGGAGGAGCAGAGCGACTCGCTCTGGGCCAAGGAGCCTGCACCAGGCTAGGCTGGTCCCAGCAAACAGGCTCAAAGTGCCCCAGAGCCACAGGACACCAAACACCCCAGAGCGAGAGCCTCAGCCCCCACGCTGACAGCAGCACCTATACAACGGCCCCAGGCCCCCTGCACATCACAGGCGCTGCCAGTTCCTCCCTCCCATGGCCCTAAGGGCTCCTCAGCCCCACAGACAGCAGCCCTGACCTCCTTGTCCACCATCTGTCCACACCAGAGCAGATGCATGAGTGGATGCCAGAGCCGGTGAGAACAAGGCCGTCACTGCCTGCGTGGGTCTGCCTCGGTGGGACCGGTGGGGCCCCCCGTCTGCCCGACACTCTATGTGCGGCTCCGGCACGGCGGTCACTGGGCGCGGCGGTCCTGGCCGCTCATGGGAATGCCAAGAATGCCGCCCCTCCCACAGAGATGGCGATCCCGGTCCGCACAGCAGCGGCACAACCCTGGCAACCAAGCCCTCACAACCCAGATCGGGAACCAAGCTGGGCAGCCCCAGGCCCCCCTGGGGGACACCCAGTCCGACTCACGCGGTCAGAGCAGCCCAGCCTCCCTGGAGAAGGCTGCATCCCCCCCTCCCGACACGCTGCCTGCAGGAGCCATCAACAAGCAGCCTGGGCCGGGAACAGACCAGGCCGGCCCTTTCTGGCCAAGTCTGGGAACCGACGAGGGGGCCAGTCGCTCCCTACCATCTCAATGTCATGAGCCTGAGCTGAGGAGTCACTGGAGAAGATACGGACCAGGACATAAAGGAAGACACTGGCAGAGCCAAGAGAATGAAGGGAGCCACCCGAGCCCTGGACAAGAGACCCACCCACAAGCATCATGTCTGCTCCACGGCACCAGGAAAACCCTAAGGGGAATCCCGCTTGGCAAGACATGTTTCTGTGTCTTGCACCCTGAAAAAGCTCCTGCAAGAAGGGGGCTGCACTTCTATAGTGGGCAGCCCCGGTCGGCGAAGCCCCACCCCCACGTATACAGCAGGCAGGGCCCAACGCCCAGTCTGGTCCGTGAGAGCCCAGTGACACGCGGTGGCCCGGCCCAAAGTGGCTGCCGCATCCAGAGCAGGCTGTCCCAGCACCGCCAGTCCTGACACTGGGCTAGGAAGACTGTCTGACAGGGCTGCCGTTCCCTGCTAGGCCAGCAGACCAGGGGCCGCAACCACCAGACGCCGGCAGCCCTCCAGCCGCGACACCGCCTGGGTGCTATGGGCCCAGGGGCCACTTTCTGGAACTGCACGGCCTCCGACGGGATACACTTCCCAGAGAGCTGCCAGGTCAGTAAAATACACACCTGCCTTATTCCCAAGCCAAGACCTACAGGACAGTAAACTGGACCTAGGGAGAAGTCAAGCAGCTGGTGACTGGCTCCTGTGGACGCCTGCATTTTCTGCACTCAGGACAGTGACCAGTTTACCCCACAGCAAGTCTTCCAGGCACAGAAATGATCTGTTTCTGGACACAACATGTCAGAATCACAGGAGGTGCAAGCTTGCTCTTCACTAAGGAAATTAGCTCCTTTTAATGCTCTTGTTCACGGGTGATGTGGAGAACACGACGCAGAACGCCTACAAACCAAGCCTGGGGGACGGGGCCCTTGTTACGGTTGAGATGTGGGAGCCTGCGGGCCCCCGGCGCTCCGGCTAGGGCAGGACGTCAGGCTCCAGGAGGGTTCCACGCCACCCGAGAGCCCTCTCCTCGCCCAGGGGTGTGGTGGGAGGTGAGGAGAGGTGGCGAGGCACGTGGGGGCGGCCACCGTGGAGGCAAACGCTCCGGGCACACACCTTCTGGCTGCTGCCAACCTGGGCAGTGTGTCCACTGCAACCCAGCCACTCTCAAATTGAGCCACGGAAACCGTGCGGGAGAAGAAGTGTTTACTGTTCTCTTAACCACTGAGCTCTGGGGTCATCTGTTCTACAACAACAGAGGACAGTGGTCAACGATTTTTCTCTAGAACATAAGAGAAAGTGCTTCTTTCACCAACTGGGAAGTCACTGAAAGTATTTTTGAAGCAAACTCTAACCGGAGCATACAGATTTGGCCGAAATTTCCTGGTGTAACATGCCTAACTGCCAATTATCAAAGACAAACAGTCATGACCAGAATGAGCTATCTAGGTTTCCTGACCTCAGACAAAGACAGAAAACAGCACTCCACAAGTCTGTCCGTAAGGAGCGGCAGCCTGGAAACAAGAGGGCCCCGTGGCGCCTGGCTGGGCTGGATTGCCACCGACGGCCCAGCCAGCAAAGGCCTGACAGAGCCGGACAGACTCTCGAGGTCAACCAGCTTCCACATATGGATGACCTAAACGGGTTCCGGTGCTGGTTCATCCTGCCCGAATGCCCACACTCACTGCACGACCCAGTTCCCAAATGAAGTCTGAATCCAGGGCCCACCCAGCTCGTCCCCCGATTCTGCTCTCTGTGAAGATGACAGAAATCACTTCTGGGCTTGACCAACTCAGGGGGACACACTTGCTTGTTCCAGGCTGTGTCTACCGCACCTGCAGGTGCACAGCCCCCCAGGGCCGCTCCCCTCTTGCACAGCAGCTGGTACAGTGGAGTGCGGTGGGCACTAGGCATCGCTCGGCAGAAGCACGAGGGTGGCGTGGAGTTCAGGAGAGAAGCAGGTCTGTCTGAGCCACACAAATTCAGGGACATACGGAAAGGTCACCAGCTTCATCACCCAGAACCCCACCGCCACCCCCGGGTCCCGGCCTCAGCCTTCCCCTAATGGTGCTTTTCTAAACCACCACCCCCTTCATGGGGTGTGAGTCCCAAAGGACACAGAACACCTGATAAAGACCTCTGGGGCTGACCGTGGTGAGGTGCGGCAAGACCCAACCTAGTACAGCAGGAAATTACCATCACCTTTCCTGAGAAGAGCTCACTACTGTGGATCTGATTTGTGCGTCAGCTGTGAGACCCCCCGCTCAGGTGCCAAAGCCTGGCGCCCCCTCCCTCGCTGCCGTCCCCCTGTGGAGCGGCCACCCACCCTGGGCTCTCCTGTGGGGGGACCCCGGGCAAGTCCCCACCTGCCGGACGAGAACAGCAGTGCGAGCCCACCTCCCTCACAGCCTCACAAGAATCACAGCACGACGTGCAAACCTTTAAACACCTGCACCCGGGGGACGAGTCATCTCCACCTGCCCACGACTAT